GCGTATTTGAACGAGAAGGGCGGCTTTGAAGCGGTGGCGACGACGGGACAGGGTGGCCGTAGTCCTCAGGGGCAGTAAATGCTGTAGACTCAGTGCGGGTCGGATAACGGTGGTTTGGTGGACGGAATGAGTTACTGTAAGCGGGGTACGAGCCAGAAGACATAGATGGCCATTGGCTGCGGCAGTAACGAGCGATGTGTCCAGCGCGACCACAGCGGAAGCAGATCGGCTTATCATCAGCTGTTCGCCATTCAGACGGGTTCCTGGTTCGAATAGAGTACGGACGGCGACGTCTCATGTCCACAGAAGCTATCGAGGGACCAGTATTATCCAGGGTGGGTGCAGTGGACAGGATACCAAGGTTAGCGAATTCCTGGTGGACAACAGCCTGGATCAAGGCGACAGCTGGCGTTGAGGCGTCGGGCAACGTCGGTTTGTTGGCAGCCGGGTAAGCGGCCTCGAGTTCACGTCGGACGATGCGCGTCACGTCTTTGGTTGTAGACGGATGACAAGGAGTGGCTTCGCAAGACGACGTTGTCGCGGTGTTGGGTAGGCGCTGAAACTGCTGCAAGATGCGTCGACTCTTCGCCTGCTCGAGACAGCGGCACTCTTTGATCACGGCGTCGATGGTCAATACGTTGGTAAATACAAGCAGGCTGAACGCATCATCGGCGATTCCTTTTAAAACGTGCGAAATCTTGTCGGCCTCAGTCATGTTGGGATCGGCCCTTTGACACAACGCTAAGACGTCTTGAATATAAGTCAAGTAGGGCTCAGTGGACGTCTGTGTACGTACGGCCAATTGCTTTCGGGCATCAAGCTGTTGACAAAACGGGTTGCCAAAGAGGTCGCGGAGCTGTTGTTTAAACATTTACCAGCTTGTGATTTCGTGCTCGTGGGTCTCAAACCAGATGCGAGGGGTCTTGTCAAGATAGAAAATGACATTCCCAAGCATAACGGTTGGGTCCCAGCCATATTGCTTGCTGACGCGCTCGTACATGCTAAGCCACTTGTCCACATTCGCGTTGTCCTCTCCAGTAAAGGTACCGGGATTACGGGGTTGCGTTAGGGCGACGTACATGGTTGCTGTCGTTGCTGAGGTAGGTGGCGAAGCCGTATCCTCACCCGGAGCCATGGTAGCAGACTTAAGGAGGCGTCCACTGCGTAGCTCCGTTGTCAGAAGAGCACCCAGCACTTCCACCAAAATGTTACGTGGAAAATAACAGCTGTCAGTCCGCAGCCACAACGCAGCTCACCAACAACGTCCACTTCTTTACTATCAGTTCCACTGCGTAGCTCCGTTGTCAGAAGAGCACCCAGCACTTCCACCAAAATGTTACGTGGAAAATAACAGCTGTCAGTCCGCAGCCACAACGCAGCTCACCAACAACGTCCACTTCTTTACTATCAGTCCGAGGCACCTTTTTCTTGGGTATGCCCCACTATGCCCTCTTTCAGTCAGACGAAATCACGTAACAATATCAAACTATTGGCCATATTGAACAGTTGAGAAATCCCCTTGCATTTCCCATGCAAAAGTATGGGACCAGTGCACCCGTATACCGAACTCCCGCACAGCCGGGCATTTGATATATCGCATGCTGCGCCGCGCTGGAGCCCAGAAAGTGCATTTTCCCTAACAAATATTGATTAATTTTTGACCGCGTTCTATCAAGTTCCGATCCTTTTTCGTGCGCAGGTGACAAGAGCTAAAGTCGCCCATCGTCTCATATAGCGGTGTCTAGCTGACAGTGCACCACTGTCTGGCAACATGTGGCTCGCATGTGCATGAGAAGCTGGACATGGCCATATTCGCATTCAAATCCAGTAGCAGGTTGTTTTTTTTTCTCTCTTGTCTGTTTTTTTCGTGTTTGTGATTTGCCTCCGATCTGTAAGTTCTCGCTCCACTTGACATTGTGTTTCATTTTTAGTGGTCTTTTTTTCGTTCATTGAATATGAGTAGCGGTACGAGAAGGCAGTTCTCAGCTGCGTTTAAACTAGAGGTTGTTGAGTTTGCAGAAACGAATGGGAATATGGCTGCTCAGCGCCGCTTTGGTGTATCAGAAAAATTCGTGCACTATTGGAGGGTGCAGAAAGGGAAGCTGCAGCTGTGCAATCATTGGAGAATGTCATTTCGTGGGCGAAGTGCGGTTCATCCGCAGCTGGAGAATATGCTAGGGAACTTTGTGTGGGAAGTTGATGCATGCTCGCTGCCAGCGATCGTGGATACCATTCGCAAGAAAGCTGCGGAACTCGCTCTAGAAGCTGGGCTCACGAGAGAAGAGTTTCGTGCACCAAACTCTTGGGTGCGTCGATTCATGAGAGGCAAAAGATTTTCTTTCCAGTGGGGCACATCCATCTGTCAGAAGTTTGCAGACGAGTTCGAGGACAAGCTTATAAACTTTCAGGGCTTCGTGAACCGGCTTCGGGAGCAGAACAACTACTTGATGAGGCAGATTGACAATGTCGATGTGATTCCCGTGTGGTTTGACATGCCTTCATCGACCATGATCATGCAGCGTGGCGTCAAGGATATGAAGCTGTTGTCTACTGGCAACGAGCACGGGCGCTTCACCGTCATGCTGGCATGCATGGCAGATGGTAGAAAGCTTCCGCCCTTCATCATTTTCAAACGTAAGACAATGCCCAAGGAAGTGTTCCCGCCCGGTGTTGTCGTTCGCATCAACAAAAAAAGATACATGGATGAGGCCATGATGCTCGAATGCATACGAGTAGTCTGGAATCGTCAACCAGATGCACTGCTCCGTCTTTGCAGCATGCTGGTGTCAGATGCGTTTTGTGGTCACTTAATCGACGCTGTGAAGCGCGCACTGGGCGATGGAAAAACGGATCTCGCCGTGATATCAGGTGGTATGAGGTCCACCCTTCAACCGATCTACGTGCTAAACAAGCGGTTAAAGGACAGAGTGCGGCTGGAGTACCAAAAGTGAATGTCCGGCGACAACCCCAAGACGCCGACGGGCCGTCTACAGAGGCATCCGCTTGCGACTGTTTGCGGCTGGGTGCTTTCCGCCTGGCGTTCCTTGCCAGATTCCATGGTGGAAAATGCTTTTAAGAAATGTTCCATCAGCAACTCGCTGTATGGCAGGGAAGACAACGCACTGAGGGAGGCGGACAGGGACAAACTCTCATCTTCAGAAGACAGTGGTGCTTCGTCTGACGAATAGGAACAGTTGCGATGATGGTTGAGGGGAGCTCTTACGATAGGGGTGCGGTGCGCCTAATTCGCAAATGAATGTCGTTCGGCAATTTCGGGTTGTTTTCTTTTTTTTTTCTTTTTCGGTAACTTGAGCTTGGGGGGTCGACCTATATTCCCACTTGACCTATAGTCCGGTTTGTAAGGTATTTCAAAAAGACTGATTGCAGAGGACAGCAAAATGAGAATGCGAAGTGTCTCGGCAATTTCGTTACAATGTTCGCATTCCCTTCCTTGTTAGCGCACAATGGCATGCGAGCCTGAAAAGCATGGCCCTCGAGATGTGCAACCTCGCGACGTATTTTTAGTTTTTCAGTTTTGAAATGCCTGTCTCGGAGGCTGCGCCCTTTCTAGCTTTTCGCATCAAATATGCTAAAAGCAGCAGTTCCCAACATCAAAGCCACAAGTGACATTGATATCACTAAAATGTCGACAGAGGGGGCTCATCATTGTCTTTTGGTGTACTTCTCTCCTCGTTCCTTATACATAAATCCTTATTCGGGAGTTGAACAGAACGTTGACCTACATGCAGCGATAAAAATTATGACTGGCACATAGAGCAATGTCAAGTAAAGCACCATCGTAAACTTTGCTTGCGGGCCAGTTGACGACTTCGTGTGCATCATGAACACTGACAACGACGTACAGTGCCTCAATGAATTATGTGACTTATCAGCATTTCTGGGCACTGTCTCGGACTGTGAGCGACTTCATCTGTGCAGATGACGATGTAGCTGTTTCTGACTGCATCGATCCTGAGATCATGGCTGCCATTGCCGTTGCCACGCAAGTGTACCGATGCGGTTGTGAACGTTGTTGGCTGTGAATATGCCACTGCTTTCACTGCTGCCACTAACCAACCTTTTGCCGCACAACAAAGCTTGCATCAGTGTTCTGCGTCAATCACCGCTGTTGTGGCCTAAGAAGCTGAATTCGCTTATATGAAAAGCTTCGATGACATTGAGGATGACTGGAACTTGACATTGTGCAAGCACTAAGACAAGTTTATGGACGTTTTCATACGAAATAAAGTGCCGTAACTCGCAGTTCACACTTTGTCCTTCCTTATACTGCGAGCGAATCGTTATGTTAGCACTTGTAACGATTTCTGAAGCCTGAAATGCTTTAGTTTAGGCCTTAAATATGCATATTTTGTATTTCAAATTATCGATATCTCGAACTATTTTGCGATCCCCTTTGAGTTCGATATATCCGGGATCGACTGTACAAGTTTTCTGTCGCTCAAGAAGGCCTTTTCAATTATGTGCGAACGCTTAGGTCCTCCAGTATCACCGTGTCATGAGACCTAGTTTCTACCAGCATTGTCAAGAAGAGCTTAAAGAAAATGGGAGATTCGAACGCGCTGTACAGAAACAAGGGCGATGCACTTTAGGAGGGCCGGGACATCAGCTAAAACGATTTTCAATCGGACCTCTCGACCGGTGATTCCAACTAGACCGCGCGTGACTGGATCTGACTGGTTAAAGTAGATGCTAATTCTGTTAAATAAACAAGTACACTTCGTTGATGGTCCAATTTATTTTATTTTCTTTAATGTATATACTGCGCGCCTTGAGACAATTGCACATCATTTCGTATGCGTTCCCGAAATCCCCGCATAATTTGTGCACCCCTTCTTGGAACCCCAAAATTGTGAAAAAAAATGTGCACAAATAATGCGAGTAAATACAGCATTTTTTTGTGAGCAACAGCTCGGCTACAAAATCTAGAAAGACAAATTCTTATAAAACATACAGTCATGCATGTATAACTGTGTGCTTACACTCTCTGATCGAAGCAGGTTCCAGATAGATTGCTGGCGCTGCCGCTGCATAGTAGACAGTCCTTGGCTGATAGACACTATACGGTAAGACAACTTTTTTATAGAATAATGCAAGTTGCCCAGCTCATGATAGACTCCAAGCATACTTCTGCAAAATAAGAATGAACAGACACAAATTCGTTTCATGAAAAGGTCTAAGCATATACGTTGCATAGTCCCATTGTGCTATGGATGCAAGCATTACCAATAAGCAGAAAAGGAAGGATTATAGGAGAAGCAATCAATTGATGTGATGGCATTGTCTTGGCAGTTTCTCAATGGTGCAGAATTCCTATTCGAGTAAAGTGAGATTAAATCAGAGTTTGTCAATGAGAATGCATGTGAGAATACCAGTCACTGTCAATTTTTTTTATCTGCGGAGATTGAAAAAGGAAACTTGCTGTAGATTTCACCATTTTTCTAGCTTATCTAAAATGGTAGGTGTTACTTGCATATCAAATAAATGAGTTAGCCAACAACCTTGAGCTAATAAATTTTTTAACATGTGTTTAATTAGTGGGAGTTGTAAAATTTTGCTTATTTGTACTTCATTCGTTACAAGTTGCAAGGCAGTCTTGAAGAGACCTAGTGCTCTAGGTTCATACACTCAGTAGGAGTGCTGAGACCACCTCAAAGCTACGTAAATAAATATTGGTATGAGAGCAGAAAACTCATTAATGAGTCACCTAAAAATGGTCAATGCACCTTTTTGTTTCCCCATGTTAAATAATAAACTTTCTTTTTTTGTCATCGATTGACAAATTGGTATCACCTATGAAGATCTCACAAGTAAAGTTCGTGAAGCCAGTATACTTGGCATTTTTCGCTGCACGGGTGCTAACCTTGCATTTTGTTAAAAAAAGTCCTCAAGTTGGAACATCTCAGAAGCACTTAATTTAGTGTGACTTGGCAATTTGCTTTACTGTTTCCTTACAGCAGTATACTACAAGGGCTCAAGTGACAAACCTCATGTAAGGGCTGACATGCTTCATCACCCGCTCCTGTTCTTGGTCAAGTTCCTGTATAGTTCCACACATCTCCATGCATGTGGTGGATACACTTCCATAATCTGCAATGAGAGTCATACAGGCAGTCAGGAAATAAAAGTATGTGATTTTGCAAGTACACACTACTAGTTCATGATGCACATCTCACTAGATGCCAAAAATGAACTTCATAATTCAACAACTGCACAAGCTCTACATGCAAACATGAATAATCAGTTACAAGACAGCTCCTTTTATGAAGGCCGAGATTATGTGTCATTTAAGATGAGCACAAACAAGTTCTTCTGTCATAACCAAAACAAAATATGGCATTAGTACATTCATACCATACTCATTAAAAAATGTGGAGCTCACTGACTCACTCATGAACTATACTTCGGCCTTAGGGCTCACTCAGATTTCGAATCATCAAAATTTTCATCCATAGAACTCGTCCAGACTCGGACTCACTAAAATTTTTCAACCAGACCTACTGAAACACGCTCAGACTCAGACTCATGGCTCGATCTGAGTCTGAGTGAGTCAATTTATGAGTCTGTTAGCCTGTTATTAGCTTTTTCGACCATAGTTTCAACGCTCTTTAACACCAATAGCTTGCATAATCAGTGCTTTATTTGGCCCTGTTTGATCTTGTACCTTCAAATACCAATTATCAGTTGTAATCCCATAAAGCCATTTTTATACAAAGAAATCAATCAGACAAGATGTTTTTACCTTGAACTTCCCTTGAAAGATCAAGAGGGGGAGGAGCAGCAAAGGTTACTACTCCCCCCCTCCCCTTTTGCAACTCACATCTCTGGTTAACAAATATTGAGCTGGCATATAAACACTAGTGAGTTAAGTATGCGTGAGTAAATGTGAGTATCAACATGAGCCGACATAAGGCTGATAGTAATGCTGAAGTCAAGTAGATACTAATACAACACATACTAATGCTTTTGTTCCTTCCTTGAATATAATACCTGTGGGCTTTTCAGAAAAACACAAGAATATCAAATGATATAAGACAAACATTCATGCAGGGTTTCCGACATGATGTAGGCCTAAAAAAGCAAATTTTTGGATTACTATCTGCAATGTCTAGTATTTTGTTTTTAAACATAACGAGTGCAAGCAAGCTGCAATATTGCGTGTGCAAATATATGGGAGCACTGGCGGAGGCCCTCACACAAAACTCCCTACACCTCTGAAACTGCCACAGCTTACTCAATATAGTGTGTGCCTTCCATTTATTGCCTTTATCAGCATGTAATGCATCATCTCTCATGACTTTCACCTCCCCGGGACTAGTTGACCAAAGGAGAGACCTATGCTCCTCCTCCCCAACCACCCTGCTACTATGCTTGCCTGCCCATCCTCTTTCCCGACCCCTACTCCCCCCCCCCCCAACATAGGCAGCCTCCCACAAGTGTCTGCAAAGACAGGGCACTACATAGAGTGCTCTTTCTCACGACTCTATGGTGTACTGCACACAGGGTATGACAGAAATAATTGCACTCTGACCTTGTACGAACCACCACGGTGGCAGCAAGTGTTTGGTTTAAGCATTTTAATCACTATCGTTATAAAAAAGGCTACGCAAAAGTGTGTGTAGAAGGGAGGGGCAGAGGGTAGACGAGCAATGACTTCACCTTTAAATTTGTTCAAATGGGTAGAGCATAATATATCAAGGAATCACAAAATCCAACTTTTTTTTTGTTGACTGATAAAATATCATCACCATCAATCGTCAGCCTGACTACGCTTACTGCAGGGCAAAGGCCTCTGCCATGATCCAGCAATCAACCCAGTCTTGTGCTTTCTGCTGCCACGTTATACCTGCGAACTTTTTCGCAGGTATAACATCCAGAGAACTGGATGTTGAAATCGATGAAAAAATATTAAGTAATAAAAAATATAGTAAGTGTTGTTCTTAAGCTTGAGCCGGTAATCATAGGACGAATTCACAGACTAGGTAGAGTTGCCACAAACAAGACGTGGCTTGTGATATTGAAACACCTAGATTTCCGTGACAAAAATAAAACACTGCAAAATCACTCCAATCTTAAGGGATCAGCCCTTGCAAATTGAGAAGACTTTTCACCTCGAGTGCATGATATCAAAAGGTACCTATTGAGAACAGTTAAAATAAATAGAGTTGCCGGTGATAAGGTTTCTCTGATATTTGACAAACTAAAAATTAACAATGATTTCTTTAGCTGGGATGAATAATCAAATTGCATTCGACCACCTTTGTGCAGTTCCCATCAAAAAAATGCCAAATCAGAAATGCGGACCTTGTGTTCACGTAACAATCCCTCGCGCATTGAATAATATTTGCTAACATAAATTCACGCAGCATTCAGCAAAAACTGAACTTGCTCGAATGTTTTTTTACTCAGTTTTAAACTACTTTGTCGCCTTAACAGATACATGGCTAATGGATGATGTCAAAAATTTTAAGATAACATTCCCAAACTACGCAATCTTACGCAAAGATAGAAAAACACGAGGAGGAGGCGTTCCCATCTTAATAAACAAAAACATTCTTTTCACGCCCCTTCCAGACGTTGAAGCGATCTTTCGCGAAATACACTTTGTTGCCTCCTATGTGATTGTTGGCTGCGTGTATTGAAGACCTTCATCAAACAGTGAAGTTTTAACATCCTTGCACACCTATCTTCGTTGCCACGCCACAGGAAAGAGACTAATACTACTAGGTGATTTTAATCTCCCAGATATCAACTGGTACATGTTGCAACATCACTCCACTTGCTCTGACATAATTTTTGACATTATGTTAAGCCTGAATATCTATGAAGTTGTGAAACAACCTACTAGTGTGCAAGGTAATTCTGCAAACATACTCGACCTAGTTTTCTTGACCGATCACTTTCTTTCAGATAAAGTCAATATTCAACTTCTAGACGGTATATAAGACCACCACGCAGTGGCTTATTCAGTCCCTGTCCATAGCCTCATAATACCTTCCAGCCTCATAATACCTTCCAAGTCAACTGTCACTTCTTTTGATTTTAAGAATGCGGCCGATTCTAGCATCATAGCTCATCTTTCCTGCAAATATTGTTCCTTTCAAGCACTTGCTAATAACCCTGAATTAGGCATTGAATTGCTGTGGCAGAAATTTAAAGCCATTATATTCTTCTGTATTAAAAGTTACATACACAGCAAACTAAAATGAACAAAAAGACACAATCCTTGGATGAACCGTGAAATTAAACATGATAAACACAATGTAAACGACTTAGAAAATTGTTGAAGAAGATCCCGAATGCTGAAACTGGCTTATCTCTCACTTTGTGTATCATTTTCATGAAATCAAAAATAGAGACTATAAATGCTTTTAGCTCTCTAATATGCTAATTTTCTAAAACAATCAGCACAAAAATTTTGAAATTACCTTGGCCCTAAAAGGCAAATTCATGGCGCTATGTCTCTAGAAGTAAAGAAAGAGCAAACTTAATGAACAATTACTGTAAGTTTATTTTCACTAATGATGAAATACTATGCTATGTACAGCCCCTCAGTTCTGATACAATAGATGAGATCTCCTTAAATGAAGCAGGAATCTTTAATTGACTCTTAATACTAGACTGCAAGGAGAAAGCCAGTCCCGATGACATACCTAACGAAGTTTTAATGCAGTATGCTGAATGGATGGCAAAATACTTATTTTCATTATTTACTAAATCATTAACAACATGTTCTCTCCCAAGTGAGTGGGAAACTGTTGAAATAATACCAATTCACAAAAAAGGTAACAAAACAGACGCTTCCAATTTCCACCCTATTTCGCTAACCAGCACAACGTGCAAGTTGCTTGAACACATCATCCTCAAACACATTACTACGTATGCCAAATAAAAACGCATTCTATCACCACTTCAGCATGGTTTCTGCCAAGGCCTTTCTACAGTTATGCAAATAACAGCATTAGTACACGAATTATCACAAGCCATTGGCAATCAAAAACAAATATATCTTAAACTGCTGGACTTCTCCAAAGCTTTTGATCAGGTGTGTCATAAAGAATTAACCATAAAAATCGAAGAAGTGTTAGATAAAGGGCAATTAGTGACTGGAGTAGTGCCTACTTATCAAACCAAACACAGTTTATCGAAATTATTCACCAAAAATCTGCAATAACCATAGTTATGTCAGGCGTACCTCAGGCAGTGTCTTGACTCCATTTTATTCCTAATTTTTATAAATGATCTACCTGCATCTATTAAAACTAAAATAAGGCTTTTCGTCAATGATTGTATTATATACAAAGAAATTGACTGTTCCAATGACCACCTTGCCCTCGAAAGTGATCTAAAATCTGTGTTCCAAAAGTGTGTGCAGTGGCAGATGCCATTAAATTTAGGTAAATCAGCTTTACTTAGAAAACCAGGAAAACCATTCAATCAAATTTTTCTTACACAATTGCGAACACTCAGCTAACTCCAGTTAAGGAACACAGGTATCTTGGCTTAATCATATCTGAAGATATAAGATGGGAGGCACATGTAAAACCCGTAATTTCATCTGCAATAAAACGACTTCTTTTTCTTAAAAGGCGCCCACATTAGACACCGCATGCAACGAAGCTGCTTGCCTAGTACACATTTGCGAAACCAGTGCTCGAGTATGCAAACGTTGTCTGGTTTCCATCTACTGAAAACTTAATAAATAAATGGGGAAACATGCAGAGGAAAGCAGTTAGGTTTATTTTCAACAGATACCACACATTTGACTCCACCTCAGAGTTAATGCAAGAAGTAGAAATACTGACCCTCCGTAACTGTGTAGAACTTGCTCGCCAGAAAAGGCTCTTTAAACTTTTTCACAATAAGCTTCGTATTGATAGAAGCAAATACCTATCTCATCCAGAAATCAGGCCCTCGCGTCATAAGCACCCTATATTTCTTCAGGAATACCTGAACAGAACTGACTGTTTTAAATTTCTTTTTTTTCCACAAGCCATGAGTATGGAACAGTCACCCTACACATATAACTACCTGTAATAACAAAGAAAGCCTCATGTCACTCCTGGAAAATTATCTATGGCATTCCCAATCATAAACTGTTAATATAGTACTAACTGCTGTTTTTATTTGTGTTATCACATCATTTTCATCCTTTAAAGACATATACACACATTACATGTGTTTACTATATTATACACTACTTTTATCCTATTACTTTATTTACTTCTTTTTTATTTCTTTTTCATGGCACTTTTTTTTGTAGCTCTCTATAGGTGCATTTTTTTATACTCCCACATGTCTTCCTGCAAATGATGTTTATGTTGAACTGATGTTTATGTTGAACTTGCTTATATTTGTTGCATATTGTTATTTCTAAAATGTTCAGTTTTGTATATTTTATTTCATGTACGCCCTTCCTGCAAAAATCTTCGCTAGGATTGGCAGTATGTCTGAAATAAATAATCAAAATAAAATCTCATTGACCCACCTAACTTTCTGTCGCCCCTTAATCCATTTGCCTTATCTGGGAATCCAGTTAGTTACCCTTAACGACCAGCGGTTATCCTGTCTACGCGCTACGTGCCTGGCCCATGTCCACTTCTTCTTGATTCAACTATGATATCCTTAACCCTGGTTTGTTCCCTGACCCACTCTGCTCTCTTCTTGTCTCTTTAAGGTTACACCCATCACTTTCCTTTCCATCGTTCGCTGCATCGTCTTCAATTTAAGCTGAACCCTCTTTGTAAGCCTCCAGGTTTCTGCTCCGTAGCTAAGTACCGGCAAGATACAGCTGTCATATACCTTCCTCTTGAGGGATAGTGGCAATCTACCTGTCATGATTTGAGAATGCTTGCCGAATGCGCTCCACCCTATCCTTATTCTCCTACTTGCTTCAATCTCGTGGTTTGGCTCCGCGTTTACTACCTGTGCTACTTCCAGACTCTCTCCACCTATTGCTAAGTGCTGTTTTTTGCCGAGACTGTTGCACATTACTATAGTTTTGTGCATATTAATTTTCAGACCTACTCTTCTGCTTTCTATGTCCAGTTCAGTAATCATGAGCTGTAGTTCGTCCCCTGAGTTACTCATCAAGGCAATGTCATCAGCGAATCGCAGATTGCTAGACATTCTCCATTAAGTCTTATTTCTAACTCTTCCAATCTAGGGCCATGAAACCCTCCTGTAAATACGCGGTGAATAACATTGGAGAGATTGTGTCTCCCTGCCTTACACCCTTCTTTATTAGGATTCTGTCGCTTTTTTTATGAATATATGGTGGCTGTGTAGTGATGGAAGTGCCTTTTTACTTTTGGGAGCATACTTTGCAGCAGGAAAAGTACTGCTTTGGAGCAGCCGTAAACGTTTTTGGAGCAAGAAAAAATGCTAGTTTATAGCAGCTATTAGTGCCGTAGATTAGCTGGAGTTAAGAGCATTGGTGAAGCATCTTTTAAACATTATATTTCTTATGAAATATCTATGCCAGACAACAATCAATGTAATTATCATGTAGCAAACAAAGGCAGGTTGTCAAAAATGTGCTGTGAAATGAGCTACAATTTAAAATGCTATTATTTGTGGCAGAAATCAAACCAAACCGGGAAAGCTGAGCTGATTATAAAAGTAACCGCAGTCCCATGTGGCCAAATAAGCAGTAGATAATCGGTATGCGATAAAATCAATCCTGCTTATTTTTACATTTTACCACAGTAGCCTACATGTCTAGCTGAGGAAAAAAAACAGCCAAATGAGCTACATGGTTAATATGCCAGTTCTTGTAGCACAAAAGAGATCAGACCCGATAATGCTGCCACTAGCAACACTCTGGGATGATAGCACCCAGATTCTTTTCAGTTTCTTTAGGATGTACGAGTTGATCAAACCAGTAAAAGTTCATTCTCATTCTCTCAGTGTCACTTCGGTGCAAGTTTGGAGCAATTATTACTAACAAAAGTTACTCTTTGGAGCACCATTTCTCTTTTGGAGCAGTTTGGAGCAATTTGAGCAGCACTTCCATCACTGCTGTGAATTCACTAGATTTCTTCCGGCATGTTCATCTGGGGTTCGTTGATGACCTGATTTCATAGTGCCTGCATTACTGCTGATGTCTCGACTGAGTAAAACGCCTTCTCGTAATCTATGAAAGCTATGTACAGATGTTGGTTGTATTTCGCGCATTTCTCTATTACCTGATTGATAGTATGAATATGGTCTATTGTGGAGTAGTCTGTACAAAATGCTGCTTGGTCCTTTGGTTGATTAAACTCTAATGTCACCTTAATCCTATTAGCTATTATTTTTGTAAACAGTTTGTAGAAAACAGACAGTAAGCTGATCGGCCTGTAGTTTTTCAAGTCCTTGGCATCTCCTTTTTTGTGGACTAAAATTATGTTAAAAGTGTCTTGCCTGTCAAGAGGCAAGACACTTCGTATATAAGGTGGCCAGTTTTTCTAACATCCTTACCAGCAGCTTTGCCTCTTTGCATTCCTTCCAGGGCTTTCCTTGCTTCCCCTGCCATTACTGCTACGATGTCAAATTCCTCTGGGCTATTATTGCTTCTTACGCTATCACCCTGGTTCTTCCGGCTTCTGTACAGCTCTGTAGAACTCCTCCGCCACCTCAACTATCCTATCCATATTGGTTATGACATTGCCTTCCTTGTCCCTTAATAACAATATATAAATCAATCATAATCAAATAAAAATCATATAAATAACAAAATTGCACATCAAAACTAAGTCGTGAGAAGGAATGTGTGGATTCTGTTTCTTTTCTTTCTTCTAAAGCAAAAGAACTGGGTTATACAACATACCTCTTTTTTGCTTGCCTTTCTCATAAAGTTGCAACATTCGAGCCATGCTGAAGAAAGAAGAAAAAAAGTGTTCATTTTTTCAACAAAGGAAGACAAAAATCAGAAGAAATTAGAATTGTTCTCACACACAAAACTTACATGTCATCAAGGATTTTCAACAATGTACCCTGGCCATATGGTGTTCTCTGACTCTCCTCAAGTATGGTGCACAGTTTGTTGAACTTGTTGAAGCAGTACTCAACTTTTTTACGCTGTGGACAAAAAGTGACTGCCAATGATATAGTTCAAGATTCAACACATAATATAGAATATGAACACAAAATATAGTTCAAGATTCAACACATAAAATTGAAGTATTTTTGCTAGGCACTGACCACAATTTATCGTGTAAATTAAACAATTCACTGCATCAGACATGCAACAGGGACGCTGTTATTAAGCACGATGGTCACAAGTCACTTTATATTCCCACTGATAGCCTTCACTGCATTCATTCTAATCTGCAACAGTAATGTCCAGAGAGACTGCACCAACAATTTTGTTCTTACGATGTGCCCTAATTTCAGTTCTTGTAGAAAGCTTGCGCCCAATATTTTTACCTCTCCCAAAACAGAACACCCCCTAAGTTGCTTGCAATGCTGTAGGCAGTATAAAGCTTTCAAACTGAGACTGCACAATGTCATTTGCCAGAGCGCCACAGTGTCCATAGGAAACAATGTACAGTTTTTCACAATATAATGAAGAGTCTGCCTGCGATTTCCATATACAAAATGTTCCACTGCTGCCACCAAGAAATACCAAGGCGACGAACAGAGACTTCTATAAATGCCACTGGAAGACAGGCTGTGCAACACAAGGTTCTCGCAGGCACATTTTTGAACTCATGCACCACACAACATAGATCAGCCACTGAAGTGGAGCATGTCCTTATCTGGTAGCACTGGAGAGAAAGAAGGGAGAGGGGGGGGAGAATGTAAGGGAATCTGAATGCTTGCCTCCTCACTACACGAGTGGGGAACACGAAAAGCATGCTCATGAACAATCTAGTGCTGTGCACTATACACTCAAACCTCGTTACAACGAAGTTGAAGAAGAGCCACAATTATTTCACTATATGCTTTACTTCATTATATAGATTATAACAGTTCGTGGCAATGTATGCTCAGATGGGCGCACACCTATAAGCATGCAAAGAAGGAAACCGCCTCGTGGCCCGATGTACCACTATGCGATCACGTGTGGGACAGAAAATAAGCACAGTCAAATCTCATTATTTCGAGCACACTTTATTCGAATTTCCGGTTAATTCGAACTCATGCTGCGGTCCCGTCAAAGCTAGGTGTATTCCAATGGGCAAAAACACCCTGTATTTCGAATGTGCAAGCACTTGCGACGGTTATTTCGAATATACCGCGCTCCGAAAATGCTCTCAGCACCATCCCCAATCCTGCGGCGGCACCATTCAATGCTGCACGCGAAGAAAGAACAGAAGAAAAGACTGTGGCAGATTGTTTACTCTCTCTCAAATGCCGATCTGCGACGCGCCTGTGCCACGCTTCTCCCTTTTCAGTCTCTGCACCTAGAGACCCTTCTCCTTTCAAGGCTGCGGGCGAAGAGAGAGAGAGAGGGAAAAAAAAAAGAAAGCTGTCGCGGAGAGTTGGCTTTCTCTCTAATGCCGATCTGCTTTTCTCCACATGGAGACGCTCCTTTTTTCTCGATGCAGAGGGTAGCAGCGGAGACACAGTCGTTGCCGTCATCTTTAGAGAGTGTTGGCGCTGGACTTAGCTGCGCTGCTATGCTTTGCAAACTGCGTGCAAAATTGATTGACTTGCTGCAAGGCAAACGTGTCCAGATGCGCGTCATTGATTACTTCAATTAATGATGGATGTCCTGATAGATTTATGAATAAATGTAAGTCTTCTGAAGCTTCTCCATCGTCTGCTCTTAGTGAGAGGGAAATCGCTTTGCACCGTGGCGCCGCTTCTCGGTCATGTGACCCGCTGAGCGCTTCCTCAATCCTCTCCGCTGGCTGTGTGAGGAGGACGGCTCTCTTGGCCGCGTGTGGCGTGGCTGTAAGGTCGGGGCGAAAGTTTTGAAAGAGCCGCGTTAAACGAGCATCAAACTCCGCAAAAAACAATATACTTAACACACCACGGTCGTTTTTTTTTTATAGACTATTTATTAGACTAGGTAACTTAGTTCGTTATATACATCTACCAGTCAATTTTACTTCGTTACAATGAGGTTTAAAATGCATGGTTCTCAATGGAGCTGTCAAGAAGAACTTCATTTACTTCGCTATATCCATTATATTGTTATATCGCATTACGTTACAACGAGGTTTGAGTGTACTACTACCAATATAGTTCTATAATCTATACCGCCTGTAACTTTCACCAGTGCCCAGTCGGGTGTTTTTGTTGCTGCCACGTGTCAGGCAGCAAGCATGAGTAGCCATGGAAGTGGCAGTACTAAATGCAATGAGCTCTCACTAATTTTTCAGTTGCAAACATTCAGGAAGCAGATGGCACTGACAAGGCTAATAATCTATTAAAGGAGCCAAGAAACATTTCCAAGTAACGATCAAACGGTTTCATTATTGCTTTATGAATTGACTGCTGGCAAGTACGAGCGGAGTTATACCGATTTGCCACACACTTTAAGCACTTTCTCCTTTTGTACTCGCGAGCGCACTAAAAGTACGCAGGGGTGGGATGACAAGGGGGTAAGAAACTATGTGCACCCCTCAGTGCACATCATAGTTTTGAGAAGCTTTTTTTACTTTTGTCTCTATAAAAACACTGCTTACGTTAATGTTATCGCGAACATGCGCACGGGTACATGGTGGTATTCCACGCCGGCCGTGGTAAGTATGCAGCTCAGGATGCTCAAATCAGCCATTGGCCATAGATGGCATGGTAATTGGGATTTATTGCATCATTTTTCAAGAGAAGAGAGAGGGATTTTTTGCCAACTTTGATAATTAATTCATCATTTCCAGGCTGCATGCGGCATTATATTGTTTCGCTCACATACTTCAAGGCACTTTGACTATTGATCAGCAGCATTTTCTGACCACGCTGAAAAATTGTTGCAGGGCCCCTTTGAAAGAGAGTCTTGGTGAAATGCTAGAGCAGATAACTAGGGGAGAGAAGGGGGCAGTACCCAAACCGACTGCTCAGTTCAGTATAGGTACTCATCTTGAGAAGGCAGCCTTTCTTTTCTACTCTATTCTATTTCTCATTTCCCTTTCCCCTCTTTGCTTTCTTATGGGTTAAATAGAAATCAGTGTAGTTGTAAAAATTGGCTTTAGCAACCTCAATCTACTAGGTATATTTTTTTTTACAGAATAAACATAGAAAATTGGGCTTGTAAGATTATGTTCATGACTAACAGTACGAATGATGCAGACAATGAAGAAAGCATCATTGCTTGTATCATTCTCTCTCTTCTATTACTGCATTGCTTTGCACTCTTACCCATGAACATTTACTTTTTTAAACCAACTAGATCGCTGAGAAAAAGAATGTCATCGTTTGTTTCAGAATATCCCATAGCCTGCTTTTCATGGTCTCAAAGAAATTATCTCTGGGCTCTGAAGTTTAAAATAAATTCCAGCCAAAGCAATAAAAGTGGGCACTTTTAATACAAATGAAAGTTTTTTTGGCAAGTGCACCGCTACAACAAGCTTTTAAATGCCTGCCATGCTTCTGGAACTGCATGCAGTTACCCACCTCTCTGCTAGAAACACTATAAAATCATGTGTTCTGAAATAAAATTTCCTTACATTACAAAACTACTCTTGAAACAGTGCGCGACAGCCATCTGAATTGGTGACACTGGAACAGCTCTTGTTTCATTCCTCAGACAAGGTGTGTATGCAAAGTTGCAAAACAGAAAGTGTGGCCACCATGAACAAAGGTGCTATAATTCAGCTTGTCGTCTTGCTTTCTTCTGATGCAATTTGAAACTTTTGTTTCTATGGTGTGCAAATGGTTTTCAATGTTCCACACTCATTAGACAGGCTAGAGTGCAAGTGGTTCAGGTTGGGGAACATACAGCATCAGCGTTGCACCAATCAACACCTGCAGTTAGGACACCAAGCCGCAATGGCTGAATGGGCACGATGGTTTCGCTTAAACTAATTACTATAGTTGGGCCTACATTTTTTTCAGCTTTACATATGACATACGACCAGGGTGAAAAGGTAGAAAATGTAGATTTCACAGATTTCATCAAATGGAGGTTTAATATGGTTCTCAGATTATTATCTCTCTCTTCCTCTCCAATGTCTATTTACTAAAACAAAAAAAGCAGGCCAACGTGACCTAGCGCATGCTGATCTCTCGAGCTAAAGTGGATGCTTGGGCAAGTTTCTGCAACATACTTAAAATGAAAAGTGCTCAAAAGACAGAGCAGCAGTAAAGGAAAGACACGGCTGAGCCCTCTAGAAATGTTCTCATGTTCTAAAAAAGAAAATTTGAGACACTACAGGTAAAACTAACTTATACAAAATATCTTGGATTTCACTTTCACAACCAATACTATTAAAAATCAAATTTTCACCAAACTTTCATAATGTTCGAAAACAGAAGAACAAGCACTCCAACAAAAGAGTTTCTCGCAGCACGTGTAGATGAGCAATAATTTCGCCATAACCTGAACTGTTTACATCTATGACACTAAGCAATTATAAAAACAATGCATCTAGCAGAGCACACCCGCCCTTTATTCACACAAATCAGCATCCATATTTTTTTTCCAGGCTATGCAAAAGCTTGCAAGGAATTTGCACAAACAAAATATAAGAATATGAATGAGCATAACACTCAAGTTAAAGCTAATAATTGCTGGGGTTTTACATGCCAAAACCACGATATGATAACGCATGCAGTAGTGTGGGACTACGAATTAATTTCGGCCACCTAGGGTTTCTCAGTGTGCATATAAACTTAAGCACTCAGGTGTTCTTTGCATTTCGCCCTTATGGAAATGTGGCTGCTGTAGTAATACTCAAGTTATAGGCCAAATAATACTTCTAATAAATATTTTAGAAAAATATTTTAAGTAGTAGAAGTAATTTTATGTGACAATCACAATACACTTAGTACAATACGCTTAGTACTTGGGCAATATCTCACAAAGCATTTTTGCTGTAATAATGAGGCAAAGGCATGTACTACTTCAGGCCTATTTGGTTTTAAAATCAAGCCAGCATACCTGGTCGTAAACATCGCTGAAAAATTCATCAACGACACACCATTGTTCCAGCAAACTGGCTGTATCAACTGAAGATTCACCTGTTAGAGACATAAGAAAAACACGCTGTACTTTAAACAAAGCAAAACTTTTAATATAAACAGCTTAAAAGTGCTAAAGCAGGTAACACAACGCTGATTGTAGTCTTGCTCAAGGAGCAACATTGAGAGAAAAAAACTGAAATTTTAGAGCTGCTTTAGCTCATGCTAAGGATAGTACATGCAAAATCCTAAGCTTTCACACAGTATACATTACATTTGACGTTCTCAGTTGACTGTGCTGTTACTTCACATTATACTTATTCTCTTTTGGTCGTCTTAACATCACTACTGATTCTATATGCAGAGGCTTCGTTGCCGAGGTGTTAATCAAATTTGATACTAATTAAAATTTCAGACTACCCAAACATTTGATACACTATTGAAATTATACACTATTACAACTGTAATTAACAAATCACATTTGATTTGTTTTCATATCACCTTAATTCAATTTGATTCATCTATCATGCACCTACTCAACAGAGTGATACAGGAAAACTAAAGAAAGGCACTGTTGGTATTCTCAGCGATGTCCAAAATGATGGAGCGAGGCAAGGTTCGACTTAAAAGGAAACTATATTATATCAAAGATCTGAGTGAATCCGCGGTCGCTACATGTACATGGTAACGCGGTTCGGTGCTGAAGCTCGCTCGGATGCGTCCGACGCCACTCGTGTCTTGGCTCGCTTTACCCTTCCATGGCAATGCATTGTCATGCGTTCCAGGTTCACGAGACCATTCTTGTTCTTTTTGTGTTCGTTGAATCAACGCCACATGGCAACAGCCCCGAGAAGACGCGTTCTGGGCTCGTGTGGCATTTCTTGTGCGGACGCCGAGATGCTGCTGGTGAACACGGCCGTTGTGAACGCAAGTGCTGCTGACAGTATTCCCCGATTACTATGTAACAGACTTGTGTGAATATTCCAATTCTTTGAATATTCAAACAAATAGTATAGTATTTGAATTCGCTTTGATTCAAATTTAAATTATTTCCAATTTCCAAGTATTCGCAATGAATGAATCGATGTATATTAATCTGCATTCAACCGTCCGTAAAGGTAGTTTAACTGCAGTGTAGAAATGCTAAGCCATGAAAGCACCTATCCAAAAGAAATCGGCTCTGCGGCAAAGCCCCTCTTCAAATTTAAAGGGACCCTGCAACATTTATTAAGCATAGAGAAAACGCTGCTGATCGGTAGTCCCGGCTATATGGAGCACACGAGCCAAATATTATAGCACAGCACGCGGCCCACAAATCACAATAAATTCTGAAAGTCAGATGAAAATTGCTCTCGTCTCTCTGCTAATGACGCCACATGCTCAAAAATCACTCGTAGAAGGCCACCTTTCAGCCCAGTGCCTGATTCGAGCATGGCACGCTCAGTTGTTACTGGGGCCGCCGCAAGAGGCCGCCACTTACGTGCGAGATCACACTGAAAAGTCACGCATCCTAAGAGGGGAAAAAGTGCTCAAGGTCATGAGGTGCCCATGACTTATTTTCTTCCTCTGTGCCATGTCTTCCTGCATCCAGTGCTTTCATCGGGACGAGAACAGAGAATGCAATTGCAGCATGCAACAAATCTTTGCAACTCCACTCGTACTGAACGAATTCTGAAATTTTTTGTGGCGGTGAATCTGAGAGGCAATAAGCTTCTTTAGTGAATCCATTCCATGGCTTCTTCAAAAAATGCTGCAGGGCCCCTTTAAATGAACATATTACCCTCAAATCATTATTTTATGAAGCTTAAAAGCTCGTTATGACGGTTTATGTGCTCTTCAGTATAAAAAATTTTTAAGTGCTACGTATTTTACAGGTTATTACTTGCATCCTATCAAAAGTCAAATCCTGCTACTACTCAAAGTTGTTTACTTTCTTCAAACGAAAAAAAAAAAAAAAAAAAAAGTTCTGTCCACAGAGGCCCTACTTCAATTTTTTTAAAAATCTTGGTATGTTACTTAGTTCATGATAAATGTGCTTATTTTCCTTCATATGCAATATATACTATTCAAATTTGATTCGAACTTATTCGACTAAAATGAATTCGCTTTGAACCTAAAATTCACTATTTGCATAAGCCTACTATGTAGCTACTGGCCAAAATATGTGTGCCAATATCGTTCCACTCTTTCATGAACATAGTCATGCAGGGGGTCCCACATTACGGATGGAAAAGAGGGTTGGGGTGGTGGAGGCACCGTAGCCTGGCAACTGCCCCCTTCCTTATGTTGATGCCTTTGGTGCTTACTGTAACCTGAATTTATAAACCAAACAAATGTTTCATACACAAACTTCGAGGTTAATTTTCAGTGAAACAAATTTCCACTTACTGTGCAAGAGGATTACAACACAACATAACACAAGGCAAAGAATCTAAGAAAAGAAGGGCTCGTGTTGTGCTGTACTTAATGAACCAACTAGCAAAACAACACAATTTGGTAAGTCGCAGCGCTGTAGCGTGGAACTACAGCCAAACAGTTTCCTAAGCTGATCCTTAACACAATTGTATGTAGAGTCAAACAGTTTCACAAAAAGCAACGAGCATGTACATTTCCCACTTGCAGTACCATTTCTGTATTTTATTTAGATCATTTTTAGAGCTCTTCACCATCATTCAAACAGAGATATATGAATCTTGTGGTGTTTGAAAATGATAAAAGTTACAATACTGACTTCGCAACCCCACTTGATTTGATTTGATGAGGGGTGAGTGCAGAGTTGCCAGTTCCACTTATATTAAGCGGATTTGAGCTCCTTTTTTTGCCAAGTCACTTGTAGAATTTTCTTGTCATTTGTCACTTTTTTTTTTTGGGGGGGGGGGGGCTTATTTGCACTTATTCAACCAGTATAGTTACTTTAGTGTTCATCACGCTCACCAATAGCGAGTTTGTCGATGACTGAGTAGTTGAGTATTCAAGTCAAATGTATGTTGGGGGAATCAAAAAGTAATGTTAACCATTCACTCGCAAACTTGCATTGAATCAAATGGAGCACTACCCTGGAGACAATGTTCAAAAGTAAGTAAAAGTAAATATGTAATTTTATTCATAGTTCCACTTATTTTAATTATTGTGATCTTTCAAGTTATCTTCACATCTGAGTGACATTTTTTATTATATTAAAGACTCCACTTTACATTTGAGTGACCTTTCCTATAATATTTAAAAATATTCTGATCAGAATTCATTAAATCTCCACTTCTTTTGGGCTTTTTTGCAAAAGTCGGTCGCTTTTTTGCGCTTCCTTTGTGATGATTATTCGTTTGTTAGCTCGATAGGATCTGGCAACACTGGTTGGATGGGAGCATCATGGCTCTTCCACAGTTTTGTTCATGCCTATTTTTATACCTGTGTTATTCAGGGTACTTTCAACTGCTCTTGAATTGAATGACAGCAAACATCAGAACTTTAGTCCAACAAAACAGTGGTTTTCGAGGAGTTATATAGTGCATGCCATGCTTAGTTACATCACGTGGTCACATGAAAGTGCCTGGATAGCATCTGCGATTCTTAAGAAAACTTCCTAAAGTTTTTAAGTAAGTGTTTTAGGAAAAACATTGTTTTGGTCTGTTTTACTATAGCATCTGATTTTTTTTTTTAAATCTGACAACCAGTTCAACTGAGGAAACAATACAAAAGCCTATTTGCTGGTTATCTTTCTTTACATACATTTTTGAGTGCTTTCGATCCTTTTTGTCATCTGCGTGGTTCCAGTAGATGGTTTTACTAGATTCAATCATCAGTTGCACTGACACAACAGTTCGTTCTTTACTGAGCAGCTGATTATTTGCAACAAAGGTGCATACACCAAAATAGATGTGGCTACGCTATCAGTTGGCATCTATCAACTCGGTCCACGAGTCTCAACTGAAGTTAACTGCTGTTAAGGATGTTGATGGCAGCTGCCGTGTAACACTCCTGTGGTTGAGTTCAACTGTCATTAAGCTTAAGTTTAAAGCACCTTTGCACATGCTGCAATATAATTCAAGGTAACAACACACTTTTTGTGACAGTGTGTGTTGCTATGATTTGCATTTTTAATTCTTTCTAAGCCAATGCAACATAAATCACATGGAAATGGCTGGCCATAACTGTGAGGAGGAATATGGCACAACTGGCCAACAAGCTGTCAGGTTTGTTTTCCATAATACCATACGACCATTTCAATAGTTAAACCAGCGCAACGTAAACACAGACAAGATGCAAACAGGACTAGCGCTTCAAGAATGATTTTAACACGCACTAGAATCTCATTATCACAAAGCTGCATATTACAAAAAAAAAAAAAAAAAAAACAAGTTTGTTATATTCGAAAATTCATTATTAATGTTACTCCTAACTCTATCTATTGCAAGACTATTTTTCATTTACTTCGTTATAACTGACATTTCCTTATACTCGTGCTCGTTATATTGAAGTTTGAGTGCACATGGAAGGTCCGGCAGCCATTTGAGCAAAATTACAGTATGTCCTAAGCTGTATGCAGAGGTGTGCTATTTGGCTCAGATGTGTGTCATAGTATGACATTGCTAACCATAGTGTTCAATCCCAAGGCCAAAACCTATTTCTTTATGATGTTGACTGTGAAAATTAAATTGAATGCTTGTCTATGTTACTGACAACAGTACAGCTAAGCCAACCTAAAGATATGCACAACTCTCAGCAGGCGAATGATATGTGGTCTCATTAACAAACTTTCTTCACATGAAGAAAAGGCTTCACAGCTTTGACTAACCTTGGCTTCTCTTCCAATCCTGTAGAAATTCAACATCAGTAGTGTAGCTGAAAAAAAAAAATATTACAGATATTAGGAATGCATAAAAATCAGCAAATAAGAAAGAAACATGCCATGGCAGCACAGAAACACCATTAGGCAATGGGGGAGGTTACAAAATGAAGAGGGGAAAAAATCAAGGAATAAAAGAAAGACAGCTGCTGGGACATATCGTCACATCTATTGTATGACGCCTCTTTTATTAGCACAAATGTGTTAGGTTAGATGTGCTCAGCTGTATTAATTAAAGGGAACTTTCAATGCTTTTTAAACATACTAAAAAAAAAGAAAGAAAAGAAGAAAGACTGCTAATCTGTAGTGAACGCTTCTGAATGTTACTGCATAGCATGTAGCAGGACATTTATAATTTAGTGTAAAAAGGAACTCAAATCATTCATCTGCTGTCTCCTGGGCAATTTATTTATTTACCCTCAGGGTCAACAGACATTACAGAGAGGAGTGGTTATATTTATAAAAGAAATGTTCCAGTTATATAACAATAGTATAAATTTGAACAATATGTAAAGATTATTAGGATAAATAGCACAAATAAGTAACCTAACAATATTATACATTGGTATTTGCAGAGGACAATAACAAAAAAGAAATAATAGTAACGCAATGAAGCAGTGAAAAGTAAGTTGGCACCGACATGCAGTAAGAGGGTGCCAGTGGGTGTAACAGGTACTGGCTGATTACTTGAATGCCATGCCAGAAGACTATCTAAAAGGGTACATGCTGTGTGTTTAAGCTGAAGGCCACAAGACTATCTAAAAGGCCACATGCTGAGTGTCATAAGCTGAAGGGGTCCACTGATATGACAGTTCCTTGAATGTGTGTTCCTGTATGACTTTTATCACATTTAGGTGCTTTTCTGCATACATTTCGTGGTTCAGTGCAAATACCCGTTTTCTATATAGTATTTCGGTTGTTTTGCAAAAAATTTTAATTGTTAGTTCAGCACCGTTTCTTTGTCTTCCTGTCCTGCCTTTAGCGCTGTTTTATTCTTCGTCTAATAAATTTCCTGAAACTAGGTATGTTGAGTCTCTGGCTCCATCAGAAGACAATACACATCATTTTCGCCGATTAAGATCTGCCCCAGCAGACGTTGTCAATATTCATGACGTCACAGTGACTGGTGTGAGAACTTTAAGGTAGCATTGCCACCCGCATTTTCTTTTTGCGCATTTTGTCACTTACTAAGCATCTCCTAGCAACAGCTTTGGTGTTTTTGGCAGAATCAAAGCATCATTACTAATACGAAAAAAAATATAATTTTTCTCTTCAGTGTCCCTTTAAGCGGAGATGCTACTCGAAGACACTTTTTTTTAATATTCACTCACTCTAGAGCAATAAAACTTGAGCTATCTATAGAACTTTTTATGCTGATTTCAAATATATAATTAGTTTTCTTGGAAGTTACATTTTTACTGATGCCACCGAGGTCTTCCGATTTGGAGCAATTTTTGGAGCAGAAGATTTTTATTTTGGAGTACATTGGCACAGCAAAATTTTTCATTTGGAGCACATTAGAGCAGAAAAATTTTCCATATTGGAACAATCTGGAGCACCTAACTTCAAATTCTGGAGGAGAAGCAAGTTGCATTTACATTCAAGGACAAAAAATTATTCTAAGGCTCTTGTGAAGAGCTAGAAATACTTAGATTCATTGCAAATTCCATAGAGCCAATCATAGAAGCACTTCCTATTTCAGTTGATGATGCAAGAATAATGGCATCATGCTGTTGAGCATTCTGGAAAAACTTGTTCAGCGATTATTTCTGTAGCAAACAAACAGAATACTGGTTGAATAAAATTGTACTTCATAAAATAACTATAAAAGTACACCTATGTGGTTATCAGCAGATAGGTGGACAAATGCTATGACAAAGAACGCTAGAGACTCACACAGTCCCAAGTGAATTTCCCTACAATGACTTGAATAAAAAAAGGTTCTTTTTCTTTATGACTGATTAGACTGTTGGGCATAATACGACACTATTCAGCTAGTCTCAGAAATCCAGACTTCTCCAGCCCTCATTTCTGTGCTGCAACTACACAACTTAACAAACTTCATTTTCCTTTTGCAGCGATACTTTATATGGCTAGGGCGTTCTGTCTATACTCCAAAAACACCTTACCGTGTCCTCTAAAAACCAGTACATAAAAAAAAATCTCACAGCGTACCTTCTGCATACACCTGAGACAACTCTAAGGCAAGATCCATTTTGTTTTTAATGGGACAGCAATTATGTGGACATTTTCGACTGGTTTTTGTCGTTGCCAGGGGTGTAGCCACACATTTTTAAAAATTTGGTGGGGGTTGCACTTTGATTTGAAGGGGCATGGGGGGCAGGCAAAAGGTCATTTTGCACTATATATGCCACGGCAAAAAAAATTCGGAGGGGGGGGAGGACATTCCCGATGTGACCCCCCTTTTTGGCTATGCTACTGGCTGTCATGTTTTGTGTGATGTCCCAATCGATAACATCCCCCAGCGCATCGTGCTTTACACGTGGGTAAAAGCGCGCGAGCAGGGTGACGAACGCGAGTGAAGAAGAGATAAGAAGAGCCGAAATATCTCTTTTGCACTGAGGGCGGATGCAATAACATCACCCCATGTGCCAGACCTTCTAGTGATTGTTGCTCAAGCAGAGAGGAACGCGCCGCCAGTCTCCAAGGGACACGAAGGATCGAGCGAGAAACATGAGGGGGGGAGGTATTGTTATGATCTTTGACTTTTAAGGGTAGATCGCTGGTGCACACGCTATTTACGGCTGGTATACCCTTCCACCTTGTACTCTCAACACGAACAGACTGTGCGAAAAGTGCTTCGCTTTATAAAGCGGCCATATGAGGGTATGCACTGAGCCTTCATCGCAAGGCGGCCACACCATCATCACGCCATTTCAGAGGTCCATTCGTACGTGCCATTCGGAATGTACAGATAGAATCACACTAGTCTAGAGCAGTGGAACGTGTGCCTGTCGACACTGTTGTTGGCCGCGGCTTCTATCTCAGGTTAGCTACAAGCTTCCATTGATGCTTACATTAAAGCACAAGGACCTAACACGCCGTACAAGCATGTCTGGTAGCATTACGACGCCTCTCTTTACACATTTCTGAAGAAAACGCCAGCTGGAGTGGCCGGTTTGGTGCTCTAGACAAGTCTGATTCCATATGCACGTGCATCGACGTGCAAGAGACGTTTCGGGGGTCTGTGGTCACCCAAGTCGCGGATATCGAGCACAGCGCGTGCAGCAAGTTTTCAAGTTTTTGCGAGTGTGCGAACCTTAGAAATGGCAACCCCAACGCTAGCGCTTCTCACGGATGATGTCAAGCCCTATTATTTAGTATAACAATGCAATTTGTTGGTATCACACTCATTGCTAAGAATGTAAGTGAAACTAACAAATTGTATCTTTTAGATCCGATATCACGCAACTCAAAAGAACGCTGGCTAAAGGGACAATGATCACTTCAGTTGCCGAAGCTTTCGTGCTGTCAGTTATCTAAACGCGAAGCAGATGTTAGTAGCACAGAAAGTTCATGAACAGTCTCATTACACCTCAAGATAACGCATGTCAGCTACTTCAAGCGACGCAGCAGCCTCCCCTCCACCCCTCCCTTAAACGAAGCAATAAATGCGATGCTGTGATGTTCATCTTTTACTAACCGTCAGCTATTGACTCTGGAAAGCGAGAGGCGGATGTGTAACAGGATGTAGCCGCTTTACAAGCCTTCCGACACCAGAGCCGTCAGCGATGGCCTCCCTAAAGCTGCGCATATTAAAACCGAATTGTGGCTGCTCCGACCAGGACGCATGCTTTTATAAATGATATGACATTTAAAAAGAAAGCATGCAAGAATTTTCAATTTGGACCCTAGCAACCTCAAGTTCAAAAGGGCAGGGTCTTTTAGGGGGCTTTTACCGCCACAGGGATTTTAAACGCGGATGTGCTGGTGGAAGAAATTACGACACAGAACTTCTGTATAATGATCCATGGATTAGAGAAAAAGTGTCAATGCGTTACCACTATTTACGTATTTTTCTGTGGACGCGAAGCACAAAAAATTAGATAGCGATGTGCAGACATAGACGTGACAGACATTCTGGCGGCACGTGCAGTTATTAGTAGAATTGCTTTATTACATGCCACGCAACTCTTCAAATGAACTATCAGCAGCGTTCCTGGAATGGACAACATCCACCCATGAATCGCCATCACAGTTTCAAGTTACCGATTGGACTATACACCACGAGCCTGTGCGGAGAGCACGTTTCGCCGTTAAGCGGACTTGCACAACAGCGTTGTGTTGGCACCGAACATAGCATCGTGGATTTTAGGACGCACGCCTAACCGTTGTTTATACAGCACAATAATATAATTACCCCAATGTAACTTTGGTAGTCCCGAGAACAAGGTGCCCATGTATTCATGCACCCACGTGGCTAATGCTGGTGATAGACGCTCCCAAATCTGACTTTAGCATAGTTTGGCGCAATTTCCCTTGATATTATCAGGATGGGGCAGAAAATCTGATTTGGCACACTTTGGCGCAGGAGAGGGATCACTGCATTCTTTCAGTTCTGCGACATGACAAAGTCAGAAACTTAAGCCTTTTGCTTATCTCTTTTCATCACTAAACTTCCGTAAATTTTTACCATTGATAGTTCATAATGTTTCAAATGAAGTGTAGAATGGAGGAGCCCTGCCGTAGTGGTCTAGTGGCTAATATTTTCGGCTGCTGACCCGCAGGTCGCGGGATCGAATCCCGGCTGCAGCAGCTGCATTTTCGATGGAGGCGAAAATGCTGTAAGCCCCTGTGCTGAGATTCGGGTGCACCTTAAAGAACCCCAGGTGGTCGAAATTTCCAGAGCCCTCCACTACGCTGTCTCTTATAACCATATGATGGTTTTGGGACGTTAAACTCCATATATCCATCAATCAAAGTGTAGAATGCAAAAAATTAATTAGGAAGTGCTTAAAAAATATGTAATAGACAT